TTTTTTTGAAAAGACACACCCTCGCAGTGCTAGTGATGCTGGTAAGAGCAGACACCACTAGCACCCGGAGGGGAGGCTCCATCTATTGGTGGGGATCTTCACCTGCTGGAAACCGGGTCCAGCGTCCCATTTACAGATTGATGATTGTGAACTGAAGGAAGACGAAACCTGCCAGCATTGATTACTCTGGGGTCCAGAGGATTGACTGTGCAGGTTTCGATGTAGATAACTTTGGGCAATACGGGTGCCAGGGGGGGAACCTCTTCACCATGTATACTGGCGCCGGATCCCTACTGCACTTCCTAGTTCCCCCACCTGTCATCATCTGAGTTTACGTTCTTCTACCCCAGTTTACTTTCAGCCAGCCCTAGCTGGTCTTTGTAGCCTCAGAGTCGCCTCTCTCTGTCATGCAACTGTCAGCGCCTTATAAGCCATACCACTGCATCCCTACAAGGCAGTCGGGGGGGGCGGGAAGGGGTCGGGGAATTCCTCTGGGGGTCTGAGCGGGATCCCTGCRTCCAAATTTGCCCAGTTGTTGAATGTCAAGCGGTAGTCTCTCTCTATTAGTGCTCCCGGTTGCCCCTCGCCTATCTCTCTTAACTCTCCTTTCCCTTCCACCTTCCCAATTGCTCCACCCTCGGGTCCTCCCAGCCAGCATGAACAGAATTCCTGTATTTTTTGTTTGATGTGTTTGGGCGATTGGAGTGTTTGGAGGTTGGATCTGACCTTATCCCATTTCGCTGTTATCTCTATTTGAATCTGCTGTATCACGCTGTCAACGAATTCGGGGCCTTCTAATCTCACCCCTTCCATCTCGTAAGTGCAACGCCTTCTCCATAGTGCCCAAAGGACCGCTCTTCGTCCCAGTGTGAGCATATTGGTGGTGTAATCGTCAAGGTGTTCTGTTAGTCCCCCGGGCCAAGTTTCGCAGCGCACCACTTTCCAATCCCAGGGCCAGGTCGTGTCTGTGCCTAGTTGGCTCCATATTCTGTCCCACCACCTCCTCATCCACAGTGCTCCCGGGCATTGGAGGAATATGTGCTCTATTGTTTCTGGGTGTTTTCGACCTGGGAAGGCGTTCATGCAGAGTTTACACCAGGGGAGGGCCAGCCCTCTCTGCTCCAGCGTTGTTCTGTCTATTAGCCAGTTATTGGTTGGTAGGCAGCGATGCTCCATCTGCCATTGAAGTGACGCGATCTTAGCGGGTTTTTCCTTTGCCAACTTGAACCATTTGACTGATCTTAATTCCGCCTGGTCGATGTTTAGGTGAGCTTGCCATTGCTCTTTCACTTGGTCAGCCAGGTTGGTTCTCGGTCTGAGGAGCCTGTATGTTAATTTGACGGACAGCCCATAGAGTGATTTAGAGTAGGTTTTTCCTTTCCATCTTGCAGCTGTCCATGTC